ACTAAAAAAAAAGGAAACATAGTTGAACCCTAACAGCTAGCCCTCAAAATCAAACATAAACTCCAACACCAAATCCATTTGAAGTTGATAAAACTACATACAGGTTCAGGAGATGTATAGAAAGGTGCTTCATGTCTCAGGGAAAGATTGTCAGAAACTTAACAAGAAAAAAAATGCAAAATTTCAAAGAATAAATATATCACACAACCTCCTAAATAGTAAACCAAAGATTGCAATCAGTATGATAATGATTGAGTGACAAGCGGAAGCCTTTATGAGCCAAACAAGAAGCACAGCACCCTAGAACTCACATCTAAACTTTCATACATTCATCAACCAACCAGACTACATTATAAAACAAAGTCAGAGACTTGTCAAAAAACCAGACTAATGGGGTACGGAACTAAGCTTTACAGTAATACTCAGTAAATAAGCGGCAATGCCAACTACCACAAGAAAACAGAATACAAGCAGCATGTACGGAACTCAGAATATTTCTTTTATTTCCCAACTGCAACACAGATGATGAAATCTTTTAATAACAGAATTTTGGTTACTAAGAAGCAAACAGTGTTACAAGAAATCCCTTAAACTTCTGGAACGGGCATGGATAAGACTGCTTATCAATCCTCCCCAAGGTCGTCTCATACAAACTGATAAAGTTAAAAAAGGTAAAAAAGAAATACATTGAATATACAGGACAAACATTCATATCATAATTCTCTGGGTAAGGATTTAGGAATGAAGACATACCACAAAGTAGATTGCAAAGTTGTCTTTGTCCTCCATGTAACTAGACCCAAGTTTAAATCGTATCATATAAATAACCCAAAGTGTTGTTCCTCATAAGAAAAAAGAAGAAATAACATTTAATATATACTTGAAATTATAATTCCAACAATATATATATAATCTAACATTTATTTTCATAACAAACTTACATCAGAGATTAAATAAACTAAAATTATAATTAATACACAAATACCTTTACAAAAGCAAAATCTTCATAAAATTCTTCGAACAAAAAGGTAGTCACCTTATGGAAAGCTTCTTAGCATCAAAATGATACTCACACCTAAGGGAGGAATCATAAACCTCCACTAAATATAAACAGTTGTCTGCCAATTATGTAGGTAAAAGCCAAGATGTAACTACCAAATAGAGTCAAGATATTGATTATAACGCACAACAAATTCTAACAAGCTACCATATGTAAATTTTAGTCCCCCAAAAAAAAGAGAGCTTCTGTGTCTGGACTAAATAATATTCCAGCAATCTCCCCAAATATATTGATTTCCTCAATAAAAAAAATTGTAATAAAAAATTCAAACCTTTAACAAACAAACCAGTTATGCAAAAATTGCAAGACTCAAAATACTATTAAGTGAGTGAAGAATTCAGCTATAATTCTACAGCACATAATAAAAACAAGTCTAACCTCCTATAATTTCCTCCATAGAAATTGCAGTAATTCATCCATAAGAGAATTAATAACAACAAGAAAATGCATATCATAAGCATGTCACTAATTACATGAACCATCCATATCACACATTCACTTAGAACAAATTAGAAGACCATAAACCAACACACGTTCACAAGAAAACACATTCTTTAACAGAACATTGCTGTAACCCATGATTTGATTCAGAACATAATTAAAGCTGAAAGCATTGAAGATTTCATACAATTCCCAACTTTGAAAAAATAGCTTGTATCTCATATC